ACTCGCGCAGTTAAGCATTACTAACTATAGTAATTACTATACAGTCAGCCAAACATTGAAAACCATGCTATTTTAGTTCTCCTCACTCCACAACAAATACTTAAATTTAACGGTAGAACAGAACTCAGAAACAAAACAAGAAAAAATATATATAAGAAGCTATTAACAAGCCAAAACTAATTAATTTTAAATTTTGTACTTCACGTTCCAATATCCACGTAAATAAAATTTGCTTGGCATAGTAATATCACGGGGGTATGGTGGTCATGCTGAACAGCACGGACTACAGGCTATTTAAACTGAGCAGTGCAGTGTAAAAAAATAACGTAAACGTAGGATACTATAGGAACATCAAATTAACATATGTATGTTTGAGAGGTAACTTGTCTTTTTCTTACCAAATATAAAATAATTTTAGATGCAATTTAATAATATGAATATGATTTAATGTGCTTTTGAACTACAGGGAAAGGGTGCTTCAACGTGAACAACACCATGAACACTATAGGCTAATTCTGCCATGTGACACCACATTTCAGAATCAGAAAGAGAGCTTTATTGCCAAGTATGTTTGCACATACAAGGAATTTGTTATAGTGTCACAAGCTTCCAGTACACGAAGACAACAACAACACACAGATAATAAAAATAAGATGTGAATAAAATACACATGCATAAATATAAACCACAAAAAAAATATAAATTTTATGTACAGGTGTGCTATAGATAAAATAAAATAAAGTTGTAGGGATGTACTAGGATGTGATGGATCCAGAGTGATTTTCTGAGCCCTTTTCCTCACTCTGGATGTCTACAGTTCTTGGAGGGTAGACGGGGCGGCACCAATAATCCTTTCAGCAGTCCGAACTGTTCTCTAGCAAGTTGTTGATTGGCCTCAGTGCTGGGGGATGGTGTCTTGTAGTTGGTGATGTCTTTCAGGCCTCTCCACACTGATGCAGGCTCATTGGCAGAAAACTGGTGTTCTAGCTTTTTAGCATAGTTCCTCTTGGCCACTCTAATCTCCTTATTCAGTGAGTTTCTGGCCTGATTGTACAAGACTCTGTGCCCCCTTTTGTAGGCGTCCTCTTTGGCCTGACGAAGATGACGAAGTTTTGCTGTAAACCATGGCTTATCATTGTTGAATGTTAAATGAGTCCTGGTAGGGATGCACATGTCTTCACAGAAACTGATATATGATGTTACAGATTCCGTGAGCTCATCCAGATCGTTGGTGGCAGCTTCAAAAACACTCCAATCAGTGCAGTCGAAACAGGCTTATAATGCCTGCTCTGTTTCGTTGGTCCATCTCTTTACAGACTTTACTACAGGTTTAGCAGATTTAAGTTTATGCCTGTAAGTCGGTATAAGATGAACCAGGCAGTGGTCAGAGAGTCCTACAGCTGCTCTGGGGACGGAGCGATATGCATCCTTTATTTTATCAATAAATGGCATTTCCATCAGCTATATCGGTAAAAATTTTGAAGCGCTAAATATTTTGAAGCACTAAATATTTTTTCGTAGAAAATCCTTGGATGGAAACCTGGCTAATGAATCCATGTACAGTTACATAGCGCTTTGTGTCCCAAGAAAACCAGGGTAGTTCTGCTTTTCTAAGTGTGCCACCTACTGTTAGAAAGTGAATCTGAATTTTCATTTAGCCCATCTGCCGTCTTTTACGCATTGATCTGAACAGACAAATCGCATATGAAAATCGGACCAAATTTTTGTGCCAAACATTCATGTTGGTGTGAACAGGCTTTAAGGATTCTAATACCACAATGTTCCCCATCTTCTTCACGCTGTAAAGGTGTACGCAGCTCAGGGCAGGGAGTCATTTCGCCTTAAGGCCTTACATGTGTAGGTAGGGGGAAGGAGGATGGCCGCGTGGAGGAATAACTGTTAGGTTAACTAGGCTGTGCTAAGCTAAGCCAGGCAGAGCGAGAAGCAGTGGTTAGTACCTGCCGGTGTACGGGACCAGGCTTTGACACAGAGCAGGTGGGGTGGGGCTGCAGCCCACCTCCCCAGACCCCCTGCTGCACAGATGGGGGGAGGGAGGGCTGGTGTCCCCATGAGGTTTGTGGATGGCACTGTAAATGGGCTCAGCCCTATTGGGGGTACAGAAATCACATAGTAAATGGGGCGCTTTCAGACACACAGAGACAGCAGACACAGAGACATACTGTGTGAAGACACGTATGGCACACACATGCACACAGACGGAGACAAACACACACATGCAGAAGTGAGGATGCATTCAGCTGGAGGGGCCCGGGCTGACTCACAGGTCCAGGGAGTCCATGCTCGGAGAGGTGAAACCCATCTCATGTTCAGGCAACAGTGGCCGTGACTTCAAAACATTTGACCCCATGCCAGAAGCATCTCTTATATCCAGAGTGTTTGTTTGCAGTGTTGGGATTCGTTTTGGAGACTTTATATACCCAGTAATGTTTCGTTAAAGCAGTGTTCACAAACAAACCACCACAGAGAGGCATTACACACCTCGTAGACGTTCTTCAGCCCACACTTGACACCTACTTCAAATAATTTTTATTTGTTCTATCTTTGCCCAGTTACATCATAAAATGTGAACAGTATTGCCAAAAAGAAATTAAACAACTAAAGCTGAAGAACTGTAGCACAGGTTGTGGGAAAACAATGTACTTTTCTAATCAAATATATATGGACATGCAAGTGTTGTTTTTTGTCATTTGTGCATGAGTGCATCTGAAAAGTGACATTTGAGTGAGTGACAGGGTTCCCACACTTTTTGACCAATACATTTCTATGACTTTTCCAGTCATTTTCCTTCAAAATTTGGTTTACGTCGTTTTGGAGACTTTATATACCCAGTAATGTTTCGTTAAAGCAGTGTTCACAAACAAACCACCACAGAGAGGCATTACACACCTCGTAGACGTTCTTCAGCCCACACTTGACACCTACTTCAAATAATTTTTATTTGTTCTATCTTTGCCCAGTTACATCATAAAATGTGAACAGTATTGCCAAAAAGAAATTAAACAACTAAAGCTGAAGAACTGTAGCACAGGTTGTGGGAAAACAATGTACTTTTCTAATCAAATATATATGGACATGCAAGTGTTGTTTTTTTGTCATTTGTGCATGAGTGCATCTGAAAAGTGACATTTGAGTGAGTGACAGGGTTCCCACACTTTTTGACCAATACATTTCTATGACTTTTCCAGTCATTTTCCTTCAAAATTTGGTTTACACTTTTTATTAATAAAATTACAGATTTTGCACTCACAATTTTTAGCTGATTAAATATTTTGGAGGTATTAAAGAAACAGTATTAGCTGTGAAAATGTCCTTTTGTATGACTTTTCCAGGCCTGGAAATGTTAAAAAATTCCTTGATATTTGCAGATTTTCCATGGCCATGGGAACCCTGGAGTGAAGAAGTGAGTGATTGTGAGTGAATAGATGAGTAAATCTATGACTCTGACCTGGTGAAGTCCTCCTCCCCCAGCATGTGGCGCGGGACTGGGGAGTACCTCGAGGGGGTGACCTGGGGTGGTGGGTACACTGGTTTAGGCTCCATGCCTCCTACATAAGCCATGCTGGAGTTGTGCCCGACGTGGTTGTCCACCATGGTGGGGAAGGCTGGAGGGAGGCCGAGACCAGTAAAGGGGAAAAAGGCAGATGATTTAACCTGGTAGTTACAGAGGACCAGATCATCTCTAAGATGTGGTTGGGACTGTAGATGTGTGTCTAACACAACAGCATCATAATACATAGTTTAATTCAAATTGTAAAAAGGACAATTTGACATACACAACTTAAAATCACATAAACATTCTACTAAAGAAATTCTAAATTAATCTATAATGCCTTAGTAAGGTTTTTGTTCATTCTCAGAATAAATCCTTTTTGTTTTGCGATGACTGATACAAATATAATATTTAAGAAACCTGGGTTAAATTTAATCCAGTTATCAGGCATCACAGCTACCAAAAAGCATGTCTGATTGTGATGTGCATATACACTACTGAAAAGTTTTGGGTTGGGATTTTTTATGTTTCTGAATTATGTTTCATTGATTAATACAGAAAACTATCAATACAAAATATAAAAAAAACTTATTTGATAAAAAATACAGAAAAATAGCAATATTGTGAAATATTATTACAACTTAAAACAACTGTTAAATTCAATTTTAATTATTTTCTATTTTATAATTCTAGTTAAAATGTAATTTATTCCTTTGATGGCAAAGCTGAATTTTCAGTAGCCATTACTCCTGTCTTCAGTGTCACATGATCGTTCAGAAATCATTATAATATGCTGATTTCACTCAAGAAACATTTCTTATTATCAGTGTTGAAAACAGTTGCACTGCTTAGTATTTTTGAGGAAGCCGTGATAATTATTTTCAGGATTCTTTGATTAAAAGAACAGCATTTATTTGAAATAGAAATATTTTGCAACATTATACAATAAATGTCTTTACTGTCACTTTTGATCAATTTAATGCGTCCTTGCTGAATAAAAGTATTAATAAAAAAAAAAATATTTGAACGGTTGTGCATGTCCTTTATTATCTAATCAAAAGAGAAAATCATTATTGCTCATCTTCACTGGTAATTGCAGGTTAATGCATTTATGTCTGAAAAGGATTCATGCTGATATTGTCCATAATTCCATTGCATTTTGGAGTGCAATTTACTGTATGTACAGTATTCCTGGATTAAAACATCAAAAACACTGTACGAGGAACAATATCATAGGTGCACTTTCATTGAGAGACTTTCATTAAGAGACTGACACATCTATTCAATTGAACAAAATATATAAAATAAAAAATATGTAAAATATTGTAACAAAAATGCCAAATACATTATCATGGCCAATAAGAGATATTCAGTCACCATTGGCAGGTGTAGCAAAAAGTAAATTTTGGCCGCTGTGTGCATGTGTGCAGGTGGATTGTGTGAAAGCCTTGTCTCTCAGTGGGAGGGAGGGATCAGTGCTGTGATGGGAGCAGCAGTGCAGTTTGTGTGGGTGTCTGAATACAGCGCCCACTGCTACACCACAGTACTGTTACAAAACTCCACAGCACTCACAAGCACTGCACCACTTGCTTTCATTACAGGGTTAAAGAAAATAGCAGATAGGGACGTAGGTTATATTTGAATTGACATAACTGGCAAGTCCATTTCACGTTTATCAATGCAGTAAAAATAGTCATAAAATGGACAGTTTTTAAGCTCATAAGGGCAAAGGGTGGATGGAGATCAGCAAAAGAAGGTACGTACTGCTGGAGTAGTCTGGTGGGGCGTACATGTCGTTGAGATGTACTGGTCCCGGCTTGGCCACTTTCAGATAGACCATGTCTGAAGTGTTCTTCAGGGCGGCCACAGCCTCCTCATGACGCACATCCTGAAGTATAATGTTATTCACCTGCGAAGGGAGACACACACACACACACACGCATGTTACATCGGCGGGTCTCTGGAGCGTGACTCAGAATGTTCATGACAGCACATTTGAAGATGTGGGAAGGAAGCGACTGGAGCGGAGGCCGGATGGCCCCACACTCGGCGACGACGCTCCATTTTCCGGCTCTCAGCCGTCCGGTCACAAAAGGAAGGACGAGAGGAAGCTGGAAAGGCGTAGTGCTTTTTCCTTTGTAAGGGCACCTACAGTACACACTACAGAAAGCTGAGTGTTTGATGGGTAAAAATGTGTCTTATTTGTTCGGAGGGTGTTGAAAGAGACAGGTCTGTTTGAAATTGTACCAAATTGGACCTCACAACTGAACCCGCCTCTCTGAAATAAAAGCCAATGGATTGGTTAACCTTTAGTTGTATGACCAGAGAAGAGCTTTTATATATATGGTTTCCCAATCCATTAATATATTATATAGGTTAACCAATTAGTTTATATATATATTAGTTTATATAAATATTAACTAACAGGCATGATCATTGTTAATACCCTGCAGGAGAAAAAAATATATATATTTATAAATAAATATTTAACATATATATTTAAATATTTATTTATTTTATTTAGTAAAGTAACAATTTTAGCTTAGTGGAGAAACTTCCCCAGAATGTTTTTTTTTACCCCAGCTAATTTACCCAAAAGTCTTCAAAACAAAACGTGATGCAAACTGAACACCTAAGAAGCTATAGCTAAGTGGCTAAATTTATGGTAAATTCCAACTTATTAATTAATAGGAAGATAATACTTATGTTTTGAATTTTGTCCAACCCTGCACATGGCAGAGTATCACTTTTAAATCCGACATTCTTGTAATGCACCATCCCCAGTAAAATCGAAAAATGTTATCTACGGTGGCAGAGAGAGCTCAAGTCAAAAAAACACATGCAAATTAAGAAAACATCTTCATCAGTTTGACAACACACATGCTACAAATACTCGCAATGTGACCAAATACAGAAACATGCTGCAAATACTCATAACACAACCAAATATGCACAGAGCACATTGGAAATATTTAAGGGAACCGCAACAAGTGATGAACCTGGCTGGGGCACACTTATCAATGCCTACTCTGAAAGGTGAGATTTCCGATAGTTAAACCATGGTAACCACAAATTATTCATGGTTTTGCTACACTAACCATTTAACCATGGCATTTGTACAACTGTGGTACAAATGGTAATCAATACGTTAAAAAAAAGAACCAAACAAACAAAACATGATTACTACACTAAAAGTGCAGACCAACTCTAGGCAGTATGTCCAGAAAAATCAAAGTCACTGACTGAAACCATAACTTTCAAGAAAAGAAAAGGAAGTAAATGCACACGTTACATGTCTGCAGTTATGGCAGCCATGACTGATGTGTAGCCTTTTAATTATGACATTTATTACCATGTCATAGCCTGCTCAGTCCCTGGCACTTGCGTGCCATGCAAGTGTTTCTCTTTATCACAGCTGTGTCCTTGTTTGAATTTGCGCTCAGCTTCACATCAATCACACTGTGGCCCATAAACCTTCACACATGAGATATATCGTCTATAATACGGCATAGTAGCCTACAACAGTGTCTGCGTTCATTGAAGCATAAAGTAGCTCAGTGGGGAAAAAAAGTCCTGCAAAGGAATGCAATGTGTGGCTTTACATATAGTACACTACACAGATGCATGTGTGCAGGTGAAATCTTACAGCCAGTAGGCGATCGCCTGTCTGCAGACGTCCATCTTTCTGTGCCGCCCCACCTTCGATGATCTTTGTGATGTAGATACTGTTGTCACCCGGGATATGCTGGTTGCCTATACCTCCAGCAATACTGAAGCCAAGACCTTGAAAGAATGGAATGGAGTTAAATTTTTAACCAGAAAATCAGATCTTACAAGGTTGAAGTCAACATTAAATTTTATTTCCAAGAGAAACAAGCAATTCAATGGGAAAAATATGAAAATGTGCACTGATGCAAATAGGGTCAATCTGTATTCAAAACTAGTTCAAATTCATTCAGAACTGCTATAATAGGGATACTGCACATAATAGCACCCTCTATTGTATCTGTCCCAAATGTGTTGGTGTGCACATTTAGCTCCTCTAACCTTTAGGCCCTTTGAGTAGGTTGACCTCCAAAATGGTCTCAGGAGGACCCTGTCTTCTGCGTACCAGCAACCTGACCACTGGGCCGGCCTCCTTCAAAGCCTCTACTGCCTTGCTATGCACAACCTCTGACACGTCCACATCATTCACCCGCAGAACACAATCATTTACCCTGAGACACAAGAAGGATAAAACAATATAATAAAGCAATGTAAATATAATCTAAATATAATATAAGCAATGTAATGGAATAACATTTCCCCACGCAGAATGGTGGAAGGATTTTTTTGTGTGAATTCATTGTTCACCGTCAGTAGTGTAGTGATGCACAAAGCACCACTCACATAGAAGTCACTTTCAAACCAAGCAGAATTCTGTTAGCAAACTTGGCAAATTCACATAAAAAACTTGAACGTGTGGGGAAATGTTTAGCCGTTATGCAGAATTCTCTATTGCATGTATTGAAATGACTGGATTTAAAGCTTTTTAACTTCTCCAAGCAACTGTAAAAGTCACAGCAACTCCATATGCAACAAATAGAGCTGGGAACTCAATTTCAATAGTTTAGCATTAGCATGTTGTCAAGCTGACATTGTTAGTAAGCTGCTAAGCTAATACTCTAATAGTATAAAAATGCTTAGGAAAACAGTACATTTTAAATTACAAATAACTTTTTATAGATACTTCACTATTGAGGTTTCTCTCGCCATGTCTGCCATCTTGGATTTATTTTTCACCAAGCTTGTCAAAAAGCATTGCCTCCACCGGCAAAGGACGCAATGCAGCCTTAGAATTTGGCCAAACTAGGCAGGATAATTAAGATATCTAACTTTTGAAACAGCCTTTGAGTGGGGAGTCCGCCTATGATGCCTATGTAGGCAGCTCAGTGGGTTTTGGAAAAAAGCTAGAGTTGCACTAAGAAATATTAGATCCTGAGAGAAGTATCACTCACCCTAGTCTCCCATCCATGGCAGCGGCACCTCCTGGGATAATCTTGGTGATGAAGATTCCTGGATCATCAGGAATGTGTGGATTATCCACACCTCCTGCGATACTGAACCCAAGGCCAGAGTTACCCTATTAACGACATACATGAGTAGCATATTATAGATGAGGAAATGCAGAGTTTTCATAAAGATTTGTGGATAAAGTTTGCATCTGCTTTTCGGAAGACACCTGGCTCTCAATACTTTGTAAACACTATGTAGGCATGGACAGTTTTCTGCTGCTAAATATAGGAATTTGTGGTACGCATTTCAAGAATCCAAAAATCGCATCCGTTTCCGCCTATTTCCTCCCTCCGTGCTTCATCACTTCTTACACTGCTGTTTTCATTCCAATGCCAAAAAGCTGAGACAGGCTGGTCTGTCTGACAGTCACATCTCAAAAGACAGGCCCTAAAGCAGACAGCTGAGAAAAGACTTCACTTTATTATTTTCTATAATTAATGAGCAACGGTCGCAGCAAATTAGTACAGAGTGGAGCTAAGACATCCCAGTGTGCCTTTCCTGCTCCAGAGCCACTGCGATAGCTCCCACTAAAGAAGCGAACACACCCAGAGACCTTTTAACATGTGAGATCTTAACATAGTTTATTTAGGCCTGAGCGTGCAGAAATGGCACAAAGAGAACAGCCCTGCAATTATGCTGAAAGCTCAGAGATGCACCCAAATCCAACATCCACTGCTGTTTAATGAATGGCCTATGCAGACGGATTTAGATTCATTTGCATTGAACAAACTTCAAGTAGGAAAAGACCATGCAATGTTAAAAACATGCTAGTTCATATGATAATTATTTTTAAGAACATTTTGATAAGAACAGCACCTGTACATGATGAACCACACAGAAGTGGTACATTTTCAATACTCTTTCAGTAGTCCAAAAATATTGTTAAAATGCAGTTTTTTAAATTGTTATCCTCAACTGACTTAGTACAAGAAACAAAATCACAAAGTAACAATCACCACACATCTAAACATGTCTTTTATCGAAGGCTACTCCTGTTCATAGTACAACTGGTATAAAAGATTCCATTTGCACGTTTTCATTCATTTCGATACATTTGACTATCATTTAATCCAACTATTATTTAATTATACTGATTTTAATGGCTAATGTATAAAGAATTTGGTATATCTACAGATCCATAGATGATCAACATCACCATGATATGACGCTTCAGGGGGAAGAGTGAGGACCAGACTGGAGGTGTGAAGATTACAGACGGCCTGTGGTCTGCCGCTGAAACAGAACTGCAGTCGAGCCGAGGAGAGAGAGACAGTACTACGTGTGTTATTCCCCTCCGGCTAGTTTCATTTTTCATGTTTAAGCAATATCACATAAATATCAGCACGGCTATGATTACACTACCGTTAAAAGATTTTTTTAAAAGAAATTTACACTTTTATTAAGAAAGTATGCATTAAATGGATCGAAAGTGACAGTAAAGACATTTATAACATTGCAAAAGATTTCTAATTCAAATAAATGCTTTTCTTTTGAACTTTCTATTCATCAAAGAATCCTGAAAAAAAATATTATGGTTTTCACCAAAATATTAAGGATCACAACTGTTTTCAATATTGATGATAATAAGAAATGTTTCTTGAGTACCAAATTGAAGTACTGACTGCTGAAAAGTAAACTTTGCTATCGCAGAAAGAAAAAAAAATAGTTTTACTGTCTTTTTGATCAAATAAATGCAGCATAAGCAAAAGCATTTAAAAAATCTTACCAAGCCTAAACTTTTGAACAGTAGTGTACATTTAGTAACATTTTAATCTTGTATTTTAGACACAATTGATACAGCAATTATTTTATTTTGTTAAATTATTTTAATTAAATTATTTTGTTTATTTTCCCGCTCTTGTAATGAAAATATCTCCAGAGTGGGATAATTTCCTTACAAATCCATACTTTTTTTTTCTTCAGTGTAACACAAAAGGAGACATTTCTTTTTTTCATAAGGCAAAGATATTCACCAGGGACTGTCAAGCTCTAAAAAGGTCTAAAATACCATAAAAGGACCATAAGAGTAGTCCACATGACTCGTGTGC